GAGTAGGTCTGTAATGTCAAATATGACTTGTGTGCAAAATTTGAGGTCAATCGGACGTAATTTGATAGGTTTAAACATCGAAAGTTGAAGTTTAAAATTCTAAAGTTCATAAAGCTTGGATTGGAGGTCGATTCATGATTTTGGCATTGTTTGATATGATTTGAGACCTCGAGCTAGTCCGTAATGTGTTTTGGGACTGGTTGGTATGATTAGTTGAGGTCCCGAGGGCCTCGGGTGGATTCCGGGTGGTTAACGGATCGAATTTGGAGTTTGAAGAAGAGCTAAAGTTGCTGGTGTAACCGCACCTGCGAGTCTAGGGCCGCAGGTGCGGAGCCGCAGAAGCGGCCCTATGATCGCAGATGGGGTATTGGCGGAAGAGAGTTGGGACCGCAGATGCGGTCGTTTGGCCGCAGATGCGGTAGAGAGGGCGCAGAAGCGGAAAGGGGGAGCATGGAGGAAACCGCAGAAGCGGTAGGGTCTCTCGCACCTGCGAAACCGCATAAGCGGTCAAGGGACCGCAGGTGCGGAAAGTGCTGGAGGTAGTGGGTGTTTTAAAAAAAACAGGATTTGGCTCATTTTTTTCATTTTCTTTTCTTGGATTGGGCGATTCTTAGAGGGGTTCAAGAGAGGATTTTCATCATCAACGATAAGGTATGCTATCCCCACCTATCTTGATTTAAATATATCGATTATGTATGGATTCTAGCATGTAAATGGGTAGAAATTCGGGGGGTTTGAGGAAAACCTAAAAATTGATAATATTGGAATTTGGCCACGATTTTGGGTATAGAATTAAGAGAAAATCATATATTTGAGTTCGTGAGTTCATGGGTAAACTTTGAAAAAGTTTGGAATCCGGGCATGTGGGCCCGATGGTGTATTCGTCAACTATCGAGGTTAGAAACTTTTATAAATTGGACTGTAATGAGTAATTGAACATATATTAATGGATTTGCATAATTATTGGCTAGTTTTGGAGCATTGTGCATCGATTCGAGTTTCGGAAGAGCGTAGAATGTCGGTTATGGATCTTCGGAGCGAGGTGAGCCTCCTTTCTAACCTTGTAAGAGGGAATTGTCTCCATAGGTGAGGTAATTGATTATGTGCTCCTATTTGTGGGGGCTCCGCACGCACGAGGTGACAAGAGTCCGTGCGTAGCTACTATTATGTTATTGTTCGGGTAGTCTAGGATCCAAAATCATGCTATACTTGAATTATTTTTAATATTATTGACATCTTGAATTGCTTAAATCACATCGAATTAGTAAATGAATTTCTAAACAGATTAAGCTTCAATTTTCTTAAATCATTAAAAGAGAATTGGCTTTTATTGGAATAAACATTTCCCGATAAACTCTTAATTGGCTATTTGACTGTGTGTATCTATGTGTGCCCGCGTCGCATGTATGATTCGCGAGCGGGGTATTTATTTATTTATGTTGACCGCGTCGCATGTACGATACGCGAGCGGGGTAATAGATGTATCTATGGTTCGCGTCATTCGACCCTCGGCAATGCGCATTTTACATTTCTGTTGGATCGGATCGTACGACATCGGCATGATTTGCGCATGCTTGTATTGCTTGCCTTGAAACTTATTGAAGTTGTTGTTGCCCCTTTCTGGCTTAAGAATATATGTTTAAATGATGAAAAAGAATTTGGAAATTTCCTATAAAAGAGAGAATTGTTTACTTGCTTCAACCTATCGGATTATAATCATGACTTAAAAAATCCACGATTTAATATATTATTGATATGACATTATTGGACCACTAGTAAGTATCGAAATCGACCTCTCGTCTCTACTTCTTCGAGATTAGACAAGATACTTATTGGGTACACGTTATTTTCGTACTCATACTACACTTCTGTGCATTTTTGTTGCACATGCACATGCATCTCTAGTGGTCTAGTGAGCGCAGCAGCATGGTTGATACGGAGACTTAGGTGAGTTGCATTTCCCGAGACGACCCGCAGCCAACAAGTCTCTTTCAGAATACTGTATTTATTTTCTCCAATATTGTATTCCGGACAGTTTTTGTATTACATTATTTCTTAGAAATTGCTCATGCACTTGTGACACCGGGTTCTGGAATATCTATGGGTTTATTCAAAAAATTTAAAAGTTGTCAAATGTTTCATTTTTTATTTAGAGGAATTTACTATATATTGTTCAAACTTATAAAAGAAGTGATTTCAGAAGTATTTAAAACGAGAATTTAATTAAGTATTTTGGTTGGCTTGCCTGATAGCAGTGTCCGGTGCCATCACGACCCTTAGTGGATTTTGGGTCGTGACAAATACAATAATGAAATAAACACTTCCCTAACCTAACTCTTCTGGAAGAGGAGAAGTAAACTACTTGCTAAACAAACTCCTTGAATAAAGGAATTTATTTTAGAGAAATAAAGGAATAATAAAATCCAAATTACTGGCTGAAAAACTGATCAAAGCAGTAATCTAAACATAGTAAACTGGTAGTTAACTTGTGCTCTAATAACTAGAAAATGACTTTCTTGAAAAAAAAATAGTTTTTCAAAAAAGTACTTACCGTATGGTTCGGGTTGAAAACAGATAATAAAAAACGGATCTGACCCGACCCATATTTAATACGAATAAAAAACGGGTTAACCGGCGGATAATATGGATAACCATATTATCCATGACTTCTTACATATGATCACTTTTGGGAGAATTCTTAGTCTCCCTAACTTGAGGAACCCCTAATTTGAGGCTTTACAAATGTAAAAGTTAGACCCATTAGTTATCCATTGGTTATCCATTTTCTAAATGGATAATATGGTTCTTATCCATATTTGACCCGTTTTTAAATAGTTTATTAACCAACCCATTTTTTAATGAATAATATGGGTGGTTAACTATTTTCTTTGAACCATTTTGTCACCCATAATTATACGAAATACATCATCCTAAAGTTTTCTGCCTTTTCCAGTGTTTGCCACCAGTATACAAAACTTGGTGGAGCAAAAGAGAAGGCAAGAGAAAGATAAAGAGGAAGCATATGAGCTACTGAAAGTTCTGGAATCTGGACAATGAACTCAAGGGACAAGAAGTTCTTTGGCGAAGAAAAAATCGGATTTGTTGACATAGTAGTAAATTTCATTGGATTTTAAGACTTTAGCTTTGTTTGAAACTAGAATTCATATAATCATCTCAATTCCTATAAATTGTTGTTCGTTATCTTCATTAAAACATTGATGAAGATTTTACAAGGCAGCCATATACTGTGCACAAATTGAAAACTTTGTTGTACTATTGAGAATAGAAACTCTCTCCCTTAGAACTTAGAAGATTTATTTTTTGTTTGGGTATATCGAACTTTCTTCGCCTTTTTATATGGCTCTGAGGCATGCCTTTCAAGTGGTTCTTCACCGGCTAAGATTTAATACCAAAAGTGATCCTAGGTGGAGTTAATTGTCTGTTAATTTCTTTGGGGAGAATTAGAATCACTCACATTATATATATAATTGATAAGTTGGATATACAAGAACTAAAATCAGAATATAGAATAACAGGACTAAATGGGAGTTTTTGGCCAATACTGTCCTTTATCTTTGAGGTAGGTCTATTTTGGTCCCTCAAATATAACCTGAGCATATTTAATCCCTTAAGTATGCTAAAGTGAGCATCTTTAGTCCCTTATCTTTAAGGGTAGGCCTATTTTGGTCCCTCAAATTATAACCCTGAGCATATTTAGTCCCTTAAGTATGTTAAAATGGAGCACTTTTAGTCTCATTGACAGAATGAGTTCAAAAACTAACGATGTTAATCAACTCTGATTCATGAAGCAAATCTTCAACTTTGAAGCAAAAGATTTCCTCTCCTTTTATTGGATAACGCAAATTATCATTTTAATTCTTCATTTTTAGATAGTGTCTTCTAAAATTTTGACCTGGAAAATGTATAAAATTTATATATTATTTTGTATATATATACATTTTGTATGTTAATACACAAAAATTATACAAATTTTATATACTTTTTCGGCTACCAGATGTAAATAATTTCTAGCTCAAGCTAAAAGTGAGAATACAATCTGGTTATTCGTTTGCTTCAATAATATGCCTAGAAGTGATATGGGCAGCTCTAATTTTTTCAAATTTTAACTTATCTTTTTGGAAAATCAACCGAAATTTTTAGAAGTAAAAGTTTCAGAGTTAAAATCTTAAATTTGTCAGCTCTGTACTATTATTGGGTGTTGGTTTATAAAATATTTTCGATAAGTAAATTAAAAGGACGATGAGTGCCGAAACCAACCTCGTAATTGATATTGGATGATTATGTCAGTGAGACTAAAGGTGCTCCACTTTAGCATACTTAAGGGACTAAATATGCTCAGGGTTATATTTAAGGGATCAAAATAGACCTACCATCAAAGATAAGGGACTAAAGGTGTTCCACTTTAGCATACTTAAGAGACTAAATATGCTCAAAGTTATATTTGAAAGACCAAAATAGACCTACCATCAAAGATAATGGACAATATTAGTCAAAAACTCGACTAAATGGATTATTTGCCGAACTAAAATGTGACTATGGGTTTGGAAAACTTTTTTCAAATCCAAAAGTATCTAAAGAGGAATAAAAGCATATCCGAATATGTTTTAGTTCAATGTCTTGATGGACTTATTTGTTGTAAATTATTCATTTTAAATATTATAGTTTAGTTTTTTAGTCCAATCGAAATTATATTTGAAGACCTTTCTATAAGAAGCCAAATCCAAACGTAAGAAGACGACAACCGCAAACGATTCATAGGGCCTAAGGAGCTGAATACGTCAGCATTGAAAATAACATCGTTGTCCCAGCTGCTAAAAATCCAGGCTCCAAGCAATCTTTACATTAATAAACAAGTCTGTGTGTCTAGAAACTTTCAAAAGTAGCCAGCAATAATTAATGAATAGAAGCTTCCACGACTTGGTAATAAGTTGTCACCGCAATTCAGCAAATGCAACCATTGTATCAATCAACTTCAAGTGTCAAACAAGAAATAAATTTGATTGGTGCCTAGGAAATTTCTTTATGATTTTTCAAGCTATAAAAGAACACCAAGATCAATTCATACCACCATAACAAAATCTTTTAACATAATAACAGTTGTGAGAGTTGGAAATTGTAAGAGTATGTCAGGAGTGAAGTTGCTTGGACATAGTGGGAGCCCTTTTAGTCGCAGAGTTGAATGGGCTCTGAATATTAAGGGCATAGAATATGAGTTGATAGAAGAAGATTTACAGAACAAGAGCCCTCTGCTTCTTCAATCGAACCCTGTTCATAAGAAGATCCCTGTGCTGTTGCACAATGGCAAGCCCATTGCTGAGTCACTTGTAATTGTTTAATATATTGATGACACATTTGATGGCCCTTCCACTTTACCTAAAGACCCTTGTGACAGAGCAGTTGCACGTTTCTGGGCTAAGTTCCTCCACGAGAAAGTAAGTCGAATTCCCTTGCTCTATGTTGCTACATACATTTACACCTTGGTAATGTCATAATGTGCTGAGAGAATGGATTGTTTTCTATGTATATGATTTAGAATCATTCTTACCTCCATTAGCTTTTAGGTATTATTAACAGCGGGTTGCCACTAAGACAATTTTTTCAAATTAGACCCATGATTAGGGGTGTACGTGGGTCGGGTTGGTTCAAATTTTTTTAGTTATCAAACCAAACTAATGGCGTCGGGTTTTTAAATCTCTAAATCAAATCAAACCAACCAAGTCGGGTTTTTCAATCCCGGATTTCCTCGGGTTTTCATATTTCCAATAAAGTCTTCATAGCACAAAATATATAACTTGTGCTCGAAATATTTCTTTAGTCCTAGTATGATACAATTAAATAATATATTTTCAAGAAAATAACACAATAGTATGAGATGAGTCATAGCATTGAACTAAGATATTCAATAACAAAGATAATAAAATAGCATAAAACAAATATTGCTAATTAATAATCCATGATAAAAATGAACATAATCTAAAAGTATCATATAAGTCATGCTAAAATAATTACATCTAATAAGTACTATTAATTACATGACTAAGCTTTGAGGAAAAAGATAAACGAAGTACATCCAGTAATTCTGGCTAAAATAGATATCCAGCACTATTATCATTTCTAGTATTGAATTGAATTTATTTTGTTAGTATTAGTATTGATTTGAATTGTATTTAAGTTACTATATTTATGGGCTATAAAACTTATTGGACCATTCAAAATTGTTAAGTCCAAGTTTGAAATAGTACATTAAAAGATAAAATTGTGAGAAAGTTTAAGAAATATTTATAAATTACATTATAATAAATATTTATATATAAAAAATATTTTTTAAAATTACAAATGTAATATTGGATTGGTTTGGCTTTTGACTTTTTTTTTGTTAAAACCAAACCAAACCAAACCAATTACGGCCGGGTTTTTTTTCAATACCAAACCACATCGAATTTTTTTTTCTCGATTGAACTCGTATTATCAATTGGGTGCGATTTATCAATTTTTTTGGTACACCCTTACACATGATAAAGGGAAACGTGTTATACTAAGTGATGATAGGCTATAATTGCGTATTTTAGTCGCTTATTACACTCTAATTTACTGTACTTTAATTGAGTTTGAGCTTTAATCGCTAGTGTTTTACACTAATTATGTGTTTTATGCCTTGTAGGAGGGATTCCGTGCTATGTAGGTATTATGGAATGAATTCAAGTGATTTGGAGCTTTGAAGTCTGAGTAAAAGCCCAAGGAATTAAGCCGAGATCGAGTTGAGGGATCAACAGATGATAGTTAAGAACGAAACAAAGAATCGAGCGGGCATACAATGCATTGTATAGTAAAATGCACATAACTTTTCACTCAGAACTCTGTTTGGGCTCCACAATATATCGTTGGAAAGCTATTTGGAAGGGCTACAACTTTTATGTTTTGTGATGTCGTAAATTCCCAATACAGCGATGCATGGTGCGCCGTGCCTGTGAAAATTTCCTGCAGCCTGTCAGAATCGGCAATCTGAACTTTTCCACTGCCGCACCGCATGGTGCGTCGCACCATGCGGTGCGATAGTGCAAATTTTACAGAGTGGTTGTCTTATTTCGCGTGGGCAAAGGTATTTTCGTCTGGGCCCAACCCTACTTGGTATAAATACATGTAAAAACGCTATTTTGAGGAGGTTGGACAGATTTGAGACACATATTCGACCTAAGGAGGCAGAGACACAATAGGAGCAAGGCGGGAAATTCTTCTACGAGTTTATCCTTCCTCTTCCTATTTTTCATTGTTGGTTATGACTTTTAGTATTGTAGTTTTACATACTATTATGAATAGCTAATTTGTTATCTAGGGTTTTGATGGAACCTTTTATAGGATAAATTCTTGTTATGTTTTTACATAACTGAGTCGTACTATAATCTCTGTTTGTTCAACTACGTTCTTGTTGTAGTTAATTGATAGGATCCTCAATTATTTGTGCCTATTTAGTATGTATTACTCGGGAGAGAGTGCATATTTAGATAGTTGTTGAACAACATCACTCCCGACATATGTGAGGAATCAATAACCAAGGGTTTAAAGGTGAGATTATGGATAACGAAACCTTGGGTGCGATCTAAGTGAGCTATAATTAAAGCCAGCTAGCGTAACTCAGGAGAGTATGTCTAGTAAATTTTCGTAATTACTCGGGAGAGAATTACAACACGCAGAGCGCTCATGATCGATAGAGAATACTTAGGCGAAATTATAGAAGACATAGCGGGAAGGATTCCGACAATTGGGAAAATCATAACTTTAGACCTCCTTAATATTTTCTCCAACAAGTTGTACCTTTAGTTGTTAATCTACTAATTTAATTATTTAGTTAATTAGATATAAGAATCTTAATATTTATAACTTAGGAATTGTTCGAGCTTGTCTTCTTAGCAATATTGAACAGTTGTAGCTAAGCCTTAGTTCTTTGTGAGATTCGACTCCGGACTTGTAAACCGAATTGTATTTGCAATGACCTCTTAGTCCTTTTTATAAGGCATAGTTGGGCATGATCAAATTTTGGCATCGTTGCCGGGGACTTAACGGTGTAGTTGTAGTTGTACATATTGCTAGGTTTCAAGTTTGAACTTTTATTTTAATTTTTTTAGTATTTGATTTTTTTATTTTAGTTTTATTTGTTTATTTGAGAAACATGGCATCACGGAATTATGAGAATTTTGATGTTGGTAATTCTACTTTTAATCATCCTTATGCATATTGTGAAGAAAACCACCCAGGCAAAATTATCAAAATATTCCCGAGAGCGAGTTATGTGCACCAACTCAATCTTATGTGTGGAATGTGTGTGATATGTGTGGTGGTCAAGATGGTCGCTTTCACGGTTGTGCTTATATTTCTTACCTTCCCCCAACCCCTTACTTTGATGGTTCTTCTTTTTCTAGTGAAGTTAATAGGAATAAAAAACCTAGGGAAGCTGACCTAAAGAAGATCGAAGATATGTTAAAGTGCATTTTGGAACAACATAGTAAATTACAACTGCAGATAGAAAGGCAGGAGGAAACTATTCACAACTTGAAAGTTCATATGAGTCAACTGGTTGAAGTTTTTAATGCTCAACAAGCCAATATTGTGAATAGTATCCAAGAAGAGCGTGAATTAGATACAAAAATTAAGGAGCTAGAGGAGAAGGCCAAAGTAAAACACCAACAATCAATCAAACTAAAATGTGAGGATGCCGATATCGTAGAAGAGATACTAGAGTCAACTAAGGATATTGAGAATACATATTTAGTTGACTCTGTTGTCATTAGTGTTGAGAATGTAGACAGTCCCAATGTTCATGTAGTTGAGCGCATTGGTCCACACTCCAAGCATTTTTTCACATTGTGTTTGGATGATGATATGGAAATAGAGTCGTCCGAGCCACTTGAGGAGTCAATGAATGAGGAACAAAATGCTTACATTCTGGAATTCTTCTTGCTAGAAAGTCGGGATTACACACCTCATCCAAAGGCCAAGAAGTGCAGAATACTACATTATTTTATTGGGCTAGTCAAATTCGTTCTACCACCCCAGGAGCATGATCACAGAGCAGAATCAAAACCTGGGGTCCAATTCATAAGTTCAAAGTGGAGGTAAAAAGTGATTCACGTCGTGTCGCGGCGTTAAATCAAGCGCTTGTTGGGAGATAACCCAGCTTTACTGCTTTGTTTTTTGTATTATATTATTTGTGTTGCGTCGATTTTTGAGTTTCTAGGACCATGGAAAACAAAGTTATTAGAAAGATGCAACAACAAACCAGATGGTTAGAACTAAGTGTGAGGTACCCGCACGAAGGACCAAACCCGGGAGAAGTTTGAGTACCCCATGAGCTACTAATGCGTCAGCCTTTGGCCTACCAGGGAGTTTCTTTTACCCTCTTATTAGTATAGTGTGCATTGGGGACAATGCACAATTTTAAGTGTGGGGTGAGGAGATTGTCTATGTGACTTTCTATGTTATTTTAGTTATGTTCGTTTAATTGAATATTTTCTTTAAATAGTAAAGATTAGACTTTTTCCGACGATGGATATCCTAGACAATTTTCTTGAGGGATTTAAGTCTAAAGAAAAAAGTACAAAAACATTTCTTTGTAGCTAGTGTAGTAATTCCCCCTTGGTTTTTCTTTGTGCCGCAGTTCTTTTCCAAGGATTTTGTTTGAACCGGGTGTAGTTAGTTTTTTGTTTTTTTGGAGTAGGAGCCATTGTGTTGTGTTTTGAAATGAAGCAATATCTCTTGACTTTGTTATGCCTTGAGAATAGTGAGTACTTTGGTTGTGACGCTTAGGCTCAGTTTTTGACTCTTGTATAAGTATCTTAAATTATATGATTTTAACTTTGCTTAACTACTTTGACTATAGTGTCTTGATGAATCCAATCCTGAGTGAATTATATGTCATGTGTTTGTAAGGTTTTGCGTTATTCAGTGCATTGCATTCGATGTCTAGAACTTGCCCCGTGTGTTTGCAAAGCAAAATAGTAGTTTTGTTCAGTCTTGGAAGTGATATAGGCGTTTCTTTGTTGAACCACATATGTATATTTTACCCGCCTAATTGTTATGTATCGTAGTTAACCTCTTTGAGCCTATAATCTTGTTTTTTTGGCAACCACATTACAAGTCTTACCCATTTGTTTGAATTAACCATCTTTTTGAACCTTTTCACCTCTCATGAGCACTTGAATTGTTATGAACTTTTTAAAAGTTAAAGTGTAGGGTGGTTGGTTTGGATTTTGAGTGGAACTAATGAAATAAGGAGAAAGGTGCACTGTTTTAAAAAAAAGTAAGAGCCACTTGAATTGAAAAAGAAAGAAAAGAAAAAAAATAGTTGTATTGTTGTGAAGAATATTCCTTGTGGTGGTGGCTTTTGACGTAATTGTGCTTAAAGAAGTATGGAGTTAATATACATTGATGTGAATGTAGAGTTTTGGTTTGACATAAGTGGGGTTTTAAATGTTAAATGTATGTATTAAAGTGATTAGGGAGGTGTAGTCACTTGTATATCTAAATGTATCCTATCCATCCCTCAGCCTACATTACAACCAAATAAAGTCTTACTTGATCCTAGACTGAATAATCTCAATTAGAGTAGTACACTACGGGCAAGCCTATGGTGCATCTTTTGTGGCATATGAATGTTGTTTCTGAGAGTGAGTAAATTCTTTCTATCTTGAGTTCCTAATGGTTCTTAACTTTTATATTGTGTGGAACTACTATCTTTTATTGTGTGAGGGCACTTGATTCATGAAGGAAATGTAATATCAGTGACCTCTATGTTAGAATAAGTGGGTGAGTTGTGAATAATGCGTGGTACTTGTGAGTCAAATCTTGAGGTGAAGATGTTACACTTTTGTGCATATTCTATTTTAAATATTCTTGGTGTGATGAGTTCGGGAAATTGCTTAAAAAGGTCGTGTCTATATAAAGTGTAGTTTCATTGCTCGAGGACGAGCAACGGTTTAAGTGTGGGGTGTTGATGATCGGCTATAATTGCATATTTTAGTCGCTTATTACACTCTAATTTACTACACTTTAATTGAGTTTGAGCTTTAATCGCTAGTGTTTTGCACTAGTTATGTGTTTTATGCCTTGTAGGAGTGATTCCGAGCTGTGAAGATATTATGGAATGAATTCAAGTGATTTGGAGCTTTGAAGTCTGAGTAAAAGCCCAAGGAATTAAGCTTGGATCGTGTTGGGGGATCAACAGATGATAGTTAAGAACGAAACAAAGAATCAAGCGGGCATACGATGCATTGTCTAGTAAAATGCACATAACTTTTCACTCAGAACTCCATTTGGGCTCCAAAGTATATCGTTGGAAAACTATTTGAAAGGGATAAAACTTTCATGTTTTGCATTTTTGCAAATTCCCGCTATTGCAGCGCGCAGTGCAACACGCCAGTGGAAATTTCCTGCAGCCTGTCAGAATCAGCAATCTGAACTTTCTCACTGCTGCACCGCATGGTGCGTCGCCCCATGCAGCGCGATAGTGCAAATTTTACAGAGTGGTTGTCCTATTTCGCACTGGAGAAGGTATTTTTGTTTGGGCCCGACCCTACTTGGTATAAATACATGTAAAAACGCTATTCAGGAGGTTGGACAGATTTGAGACACAGATTCGACCTAAGGAGGCACAGACACAATAGGACCAAGGCGGGGAATTCTTCTACGAGTTTTTCCTTCCTATTCCTATTTTTCATTGTTGGTTATGACTTTTAGTATTGTAGTTTTACATACTATTATGAATAGCTAATTTGTTATCTAGGGTTTTGATGGAACCTTTTGTAGGATAAATTCTTATTATGTTTTTATATAATTGAGCCGTAGTATAATCTCTATTTGTTCAACTATGTTCTTGTTGTAGTTAATTGATAGAATACTCAATTAGTTGTGCCTATTTAGTATGTATTACTCGGGAGAGAGTGCATATTTAGGTAGTTGTTGAACAATATCACTCCCGACGTATGTGAGGAATCAATAACCAAGGGTTTAAAGGTGGGATTAGGGATAACGAAACCTTGGGTGCGATCTAAGTGAGTTGTAATTAAAGTCAGCTAGCATAACTCGGGAGAGTATGTCTAGTAAATTGTCGTAATTACTCGGGAGAGAACTACAACACGCAAAGCGCTCATGATCGGTAGAGAATACTTAGGCGAAATTATAGAAGACATAGCGGGAATGATTCCGACAATTGGAA